AGGGACAGTTGTAAGCACTGTGTACCTGCCTCGAGTGTGCTTGACCAATGTAACACAACGTGGTGCGATCATCCCCCTTGCGCGGAGTGAGGCTTCTCCACCCCGCACAACATGATCCACTAGACCACCATTCATTGTGGCTACCGCAAAAAACAAACAAAGACAAAAAACAAACGGTAACAACCTGGTTGCCGAGTTCACGAAGTGATTTGGCTTATTTTACAACGTCGTTACCAAGCGACGAAAACCCAATCCCGATGGCAAACACCGAGGGGGGGGCTTGTTTTACAACGTCGTTGCCAAGCGACGAAAACCCAACCCCGATGGCAAACACCGGGGGGGGGAGCCACCGGGGGGGGGTGAACAATCTTTTTGCGGGCATAGGGGACCTGTAGGAGACGGAGATCAGTTTGTTCCTTTTGTGTGTGCGACCTTCTCATCTGGTGCGACCAACTGACATTCAATCAACAATTAAATCATTGTCAAACTGTCCGTTTTTGAACGAACGACAGACTACTTCCTAACAGAGTCGGCGTTCGTACGAGCCTCCTCGTTGTTGCATGTTCACGCGAACGAGCATGCATGTCATGTGTACGAACAATCGGAGAGAGAGGTACTACGACTCTTTCGTTTGTCATCGTCGAACACCCTACTCCGCTAATATTCATGTTCATTCATTTGTTGTTCTCTTCGTTGACGTGGAGAAAACAGGTTGATGGGGACGCATGTTCGCAACGTTTGCCAACAGTGAACGAACGTTCCACTCTGGTTTGTTGCCAATATAGTGAAAGTTGTTGTCAGGAAGTAATTTCTACAGGGCACCAGCGCCTGGTTCTATATTGTTACAAAGAGAGACATCTTCTGCTCCCGAATGTTTGCCCGCATCCACGAGTGAGTGGAATGCTGTATCGACCATCCTCCAGTCGTACCCCTTCTGTTGTCCTCCCCACAACTAACTCCGGTCTGTTGGCGCCATGCGAAGTCTCCTAATGACACTTGACGCCTGCCTTCCTTCGGTTCGGCTGTCCCGACCTAGTACGTGTTGATTATTTGATTGAGAGAAAAACTGCATGTTTTGGGCACGCCGAGGAACGAAAGCCAGTTCACGTACGACCGCCGAATAATCATCACCAGCAGCGGAGGAAGGCCACAAACTTGTGACCTCAAAATCCGTTATTGTCAAGAACGACCAGCATTTGCTAGCACCGAAGGCATGGAGGGTCCTGTTCAGCCTGACTGAGGGATCTCTTTGACTTCCGCAGAGCACCGACTAGCAGCCAGCGGACATGTATGTGTGTGTGTAGAAATCGGTTTGACGGCGGCAAGCAGAAGCGCACGCTCACGACGAAAGCGACGACTCGCTCATTTGAAAAACGCGATAAACGCATGTAGGAAGTCAATTCACGCGGCCTTCCGAGCCGTTTATGACCGTCGCCACCACGGTATATCGGCGATTCACGCCTGTCAAGAGAATAATCAAGACAGCCGACAAAGTTAAATAATTGCGACAACACCCAGCGATGCACCGTAAAATCAAAGGGCATGTTCGCCCGCCAATTCGAGTACACAATAGACACGGACAAAATAGAAAAGCCCCCACCTAAACGAACCCGCGAAATGGCCTGGGCACCGTCGGAAGAACCACGAGGACCAAGTCCGACTTGCCTGCCTGCCTGCATAGCGCATCAGCAGGATACCACCACCCCACAATGGCTGGCGAAGACCAACCGTAAAACACGTTCTCGCGGAAAAGCCAATCCAACCTCTACACGTTTCAATGGTGCCGGGGTACAAGGCCAAGAACTGCCACTTGTTCGCGGCGCAATGCGCCGGATATACATGCAAACCCGGGCTCCCCCCACACCAACAGCACGGTCTTTTCTTTCACCATTTTCGTCACAATTTGCGACAGACACCCTTGATGCAGCCACCACAAAGACAAACGCGGGATTGCTGCAATTGGATGCAAGGATAAAAAATATACCATAAGTGTGTTACAAAAACGCAAAATTTTACGACTCCCATCCCCCTCATATGAACGCATGCAGACTACAGTACTAAAAAACGACAATAGGAGTTACCTTAGTATAACAAGGCGCCATTCGCCATTTGTGCTCTTTCACCACCAACATGAAAAGTCGTTCATTCAATTCAATTCATATGCGCATGCCTTGCGATGTGAAAGCCGGTACCACTCCGGTCTCAAACTCTACGCCTGAAACCATGACACTCATGCATGTACAACACATCTAAAGGAATGGAAGAGCGAGGGGGGGGGGGGGGGGGGGGGGGGA